GAATTCCTGTTGTTGAGCCTCGATCTTCACTGAGGGCCAGTCATCAACTGTTTAAGTGTTCAATTGTCAATAAGCCAAAGTCTGTGGAAGGCCATAATGGCCCTGCTTTAAGTGGTTTGCTGCTCTCGCAGCTCACCACGCTGTCTCTGCCTCCGCCGCCATCTTGGATCTCAAAAAAAAAATAAAATCTTAAGAAAAATAGGTACTTTCCTTTTGTTTTGAGGACTCCTTCACTTTAGACTTCAAATTAAACATAATTGTATTCTCTTTCCTAATAATTTACTTGTTTGGTTTTTTTTTTTTAATATAGGAACAAAAGTACACCATGCAGATGAGTGAGCTGAAAGAACACTTCCAACAAAAAGCCAAAGAAATTAGCATGATTCAGACAGAACTGAAATCAATAAGACAATTCCAAAAGAGAAAAATCCAAGTGGAGAAAGAATTAGAGGATGTAAGTTTTTTCTTTTTTAAAGATTAATATTAGTTACTTATACCTGCAAAAACCTGCATAAACATTTCCCTCTGTGAGACAGCAAAGAACTTACTGTGACATGTTAGAGATAATTTAATAGATAAGAGGAAGATACACCAGCTTAGTTTTAAAACATCTAAAATTTTTATTTATTTTTACTTTTTAAGGAAATTTCCCTTTTTTTTAAATATACAGTAGGTTAGAACCAGATGGGGGAAAACATGTTAATGTTAGACTTTTTTCTTCTCTAAGTATTATTTTCTTAGTGACTTTATTAGATATCATATAACACACTATCCAACTTTGATCAATACCTAGATCTTTTTGGATTTGCTTCAGTAAGAAAGTATAATTCTTAGTAAACATTAGTGGAAAGTCACAAAGAAAATATTTTTAGATTTATGAGTGATCGTTTTAAAAAGCTTTATTAAGTGCTTTATGGATAAAGGTAGGTGGGATGAGAAAGAAATACTGAGTATTTTTAGAAAATTAGTCTGACCTGCTCTCCTTTTGGTACTCTTTCCCTTACTTTGCATTCTCTCAACTCAGAAAATAGTTTTATTGCATTGATGATAATACAAATAAATGTCATCGTGACAGGCACAAGTAGCTGAAAGCAGCCAGTTATTGACTTTCAGCAAGTTACTTAACCTCTCTATACTTTGGTTTCCTTTTCTGTAAAATAAGGATAGCAGTAATTATGGTCTTATAGGATTGTTGTAAATATTATACCAGGTAATATGCTTGTTGTTGTTGTTGTTATATGCTGTTGAGATGCCTGTGACTCCTAGCAACCCTATGTATAATAGACCTAAACCCTGCTTTATCCTGTTCCAATCTTATTGTCTCTGACACACCTACCCCCATTATCCCAGTCACTGAATTCATCCATTTCAATGAGGGCCTTCCTCTCCTGCACTGTCCCTCTACCCTCCCAAGCATGACGTCCCTTCCAAGGGCTGGTCTCTCCTTGCAACATGTCCAGAGTACCTCAGACGAAGCTTCAGAATCCTTGCCTCCAAGGAGCATCCCAGTTTAACCCTCTCCAAGATGAACCAGTTCATTCTCTTAGCAGTCCATGGTATATATTTAGTACTCTTCTCCAACACCACAGCTCAAAGGCATCAATTTTCCTTCTATCATCCCTAGTACAGCTCTCTGATGCATAGCAAGTGATGGCAAAGACCATGGCTGTATCAGGCACACCTTAGTCTCCAGACTGACATAATTGTTCTTCAGTACCTTGGAGAGGTCTCTGATAGCATACTTTCCCAACACAATATGTCTTTTAATTTCCTGGCTGCTGGTGCCAAGAATGTTGACTGTGGAGCCAAGCAAACTAAAGCTGTTTACAATTTCAATCTCTTCACCATCCATCACGATGCTGCCAATTGGTCCAGTGGTGAGAATCTTTGTCTTCTTGATATATGTATTTAAAATAGTACCTGTGGGAATGATATTAACAGTAATATGCAGCTCTCTGGGGGGCATGGAAGAAATGTCCTGATTTGTATCATTTACTAATTTTCATGGTGTAGATCTTTTTTATCACCAGTTTTCAAGCTACTAATGCTTTGTTATTGTTGTTATGTGCCATCAAGTCACCTGTGACTCATAGTGACTGTACGTACAACAACTCTGAAGCATGCCCTATCCAGGACCAGTCTCACTGACTCAAATATACCTACCCCCATTGCCCTAGTAACTGTGTCAATATATCTCATCCAGGGTCTTCCTCTCCTGCACTGTCCCTGCACCATTCTTAGTTTGATATCCTTCTCCAACAATTGGTCCCTCCTGGCCACATGCCCAAAGTATGTGTGAGAGAGCTTCAAAATCCTAGCCTCCAAGAAGAAAATTGGTTTCGCACATTCCAAGACAGACCTGTTTGTTTTCTTGGCAGTGCATGTTATATACACAACTGTTATCCTCCACCACAACTCAAAGGCATCAATTTTTCTTCTGTCCACCACAACAAGATAAAGGTAAATAATCCAGTTGAAAAATGGGCACAGGATATGAACAGACACTTCACCAAAGAAGACATTCAGATGGCTAACAAGCACATGAAGAAATGTTCAAAATCCCTCGCTCTAAGAGAGGTGCAAATCCAAACAACTATGAGATATCATATCACCCCAATCAGAATAGCAAATTTTTTTTTAATTTAATAGAACAGCAAGCAACAAATGCTGGTGACATTGTGGAGAAACTGGAACCCTTATTCATTGTTGGTGGAAATGTAAAATGGTGCACCCACTGTGGAAAGTGGAGTGGTGCTTTCTCAAAAAGTTGCAAATAGAGATACCATTTGACCCAGCAATTCCGCTACTGGGAATATACCCCAGTTTTTCCTCTGTCATCCTTAGTCATTTTCCAGCTCTCTTTTACATAGCAAGTACTTGTGAAGACCATGGACTGGATCAGGCACACCTTAGTCTCTAGACTAACATTGTTGCTTCTCAGTACTCTGGAAGGTCCCTGCCAGCAGATTTCCTTAATGCAATTCATCTTTTGATTTCCTGACTGCTGGTGCCAACACTTGATTGTAGAGCTGAGCAAGCTGTATCTCTTAACAACCTCAATCTCTTCTCCATCCATTATGGTGTTGCCAATTGTCTCAGTGGTGAGAGCCTTTGTTTTCCTGCTGTTGAGTTTCAATCCATATTGAAGACTATAGTCCTTGACCTTCTGTAGCAAATGCTTCAGGTCTGCCTCAGTTTCAGCCAACAAGGTTGTGTCATCTACATAACATAGGTTGTTGATGAGTCTTCCATTAATCCTGATACCACATTCCTCCTCATAAAGCCCAGTCTCCAGAATGTTCTGTTCAGCATATAGATTGAAAAGGAAACATGATGCACCCCTGCCTTGTACCCTTCCTAATTTTGAACCATGCACAACCTACAAAATTCCTGGTGTCAGACATTCTCTGGTGTTTTGTTGAATATACATAAATACTGATGCCTTCATCCAGATGGCTAGATTGTAAGTACTGTCATTTTATTACTTGGGTGCCTTGTTCAGTTTCTTCATCAGTGAGCCTACTGTCTTACTAATAAGCTAACATTATGACAATTCCTATTATTCCAGAAACTGTCCCTTCTAGTATCTCTCACTTTTGATCATGGTATGTCATCTCCAAGCATGCAATGTCTCTCAAGTCCTCCTCTGTCTACGGAGGGGCCCTGCTTAACAAGAACAAGTTTTGATGGAAAAACAAAATTCTTGCATCTTATTTCTTTTTACCCTTAAGCTAACAAACAACTTGAAAGGATATTAGAGAAAATAATAAAACAGACAAGAAAATATATGGTTGAAATCATGGACTTGGTTTTCTGGCTCTGCAGCCTTGGAGCCATTATAGCCTTGGACAGTGTGTTAACCTCTCTGAGTCTCGGATTCCTCATTTGTAAAATATAACTGGTAATATCACTTGCCTCCTCTTAGAGATGTGTGGGTTAAATCACACATGATCTTTTGTAAAAGTAGTATATAGCAGCCATCAAAGTTTTGGTTTTTGTTAGGACTAGCTTTAAAAATCTTAAGACTCTTAAAACTTGAAATGAATGAATGGGCACATTTTGGGTGAAGCAAAGTGAAAAGACACATTCTTAGTAAGGGAAGGTCATATTTTTACCTTTCCCATCACAATTGAGCCATTTTCTCAACATCTTCGCATGTGGCTACCAATGTTCGTGAATTGCTTACTTGGTTCTTTATACAACTGTTCTTAAAATAGTTCTTCCCTTTCTGCGGTGACTTCCGCATGCCAACATGCTTCTTGCAAAGGATCTCCTTCATCCCTCTCCAGAAGAAGAGAAGAGGAAGCACAAGAAGAAGTACCTGGTGCAGAGCCCGAATTCCTATTTCATGGCTGTGAAATGTCCAGGATGTTATAAAATCCCCACAGTCTTCAGCCATACACAAACAGTAGTTTTGTGTGTTGGCTGCTCCACTGTTCTCGGTCCGCCTACAGGAGGAAAAGCAAGGCTTACAGAAGGATGGATGCTCCTTCAGATGGAAACAGCATTAAGAAAAACACACTGAATCAAGATGAATGGAAATTATCTCAATAAACAGAATTTTTAAAATAAAAAAGTTCTTAATTTAAATAATTTTATTTTACAAATTCTGTTCTTAATTTCCCTAGCACTATACTCCTAGGAACTCTTGCCTTTCATATGTTTGAAGCCCCTTTAAGTTCTTTTTTTAATCATCTTTTTATATTTCCGTCCCCCCAATTCATTCATTGTTGCACATTTTCCTCCATGCCCACCACCACCCCAGTTTGCTTTTCTCTTTGAAAAGAAAAAAAAAAATTCTTTCATTGTTATACAATCCCTACTCCCTCCTCAGTCCACTTTACTATGCAGCTCTTATTCTGGACTCTTGCCATGCAAATACTACCTAATCATATATCCCTTTTAAACAGTTCTCTCCCTTATCTGTGTCAATGCAATGTACTATTTATTTATCCCTTTTTTCTTAGTTTCCCCCATACCTGATGTCTATCCTGTTTTATAACAGTGGCGTTATGCAGTATTTGTTCTTTTGTGACTGAGATATTTCACTCAACATAATGTCCTCCAGGGTCACCCATTTTATATGGTATTTCATTAGTTCCTTGTTTTTCAATGCTGTGTAGTATTCCATTGTGTGAATGTACCACAGCTTCGATATCCATTCATTTGTTGATGGGCACTTGGGTTGTGCCCAACTCTTCACTATTGTGAATAGCAGCTACAAGGGAGCTCTTGTGGCCTAGTGGCAAGAAGCTGCACTGCAGTCCCAAAAGTGTGGTTTGAATCCATGAGATGCTCTGGTGGAGGAGGGGCAATCTCCTCCTGTGCCAGTTGGATCTGTCTTGGTGTATACAACAAGGAAAAAAAAATAGTAGCTACATGACAATTTTTTCCTAGTAATTTTCTACTGATGTTGTTTTTCAGCCTTCATAAGCTAAGGAGAATTAGAGGTCC